CTGATGATATAGCAAATGGGATTGTTTTCTTAATTTCCTTTTTAATTTGGTCTTTGTTAGTGTATAGAAATGAAACTGATTGTGAGTGCTAATTTTATATCCTGCAACTTTGTTGAATTGTGTGTGTGTGTGTGTGTGTGTGTGTGTGTGTAATCTGCAAAATCTATTACAGAGGTAATTTTCTTTCTTTTCCAATTTGTATGCCTTGTATTTCTTTCTTTTTCTTTTTCCCCCCCTTTTGGTCTAGTTGCTATGGCTAGACCTTATAGTACTATGTTGAATAGTAGTACTGAGAGTTGGCATCCTTGCCTTTTTACTGATCTTAGAGGAAAATCTTTCAGTCTTGCCCATTGTATGTAATATTAGCTTTGGACTCTGCATATGTAACTTTTATTGTATTGAAGTAGTTTCCATGTATTCCTAGTTTATTGAGTGTTTTTATCATGAAAGTGGTTGAATTTTGTCAAATAATTTTTCTGCATTGATTGAGATGATCAATCATCTTTTGTTCTTCAGTTTGTTAATGTGGTATATTATATTAATTGATTTTTGTATGTTGAACCATCCTTACATTCCAAGTGTGAGTCTCACTTTTCTTGGTGTATGATCCTTTTAATGTGTTGAATTTTGTTTGATCCTGTTTTCTTTTAGATTTTTGCATCATTATTCATCAGGGATATTGATTTGTAGTTTTCTTTTTGTCTTTCTCTTGTTTTGGTCTCAGGACAATGAGGGTCTTATAGATACATGTTATAATCCTTTTTATTTCTGTGACATCAGTTTTAATGGCTCTTGTTTCATTTCTAATTTTATTTTTATTTTATTTGAATTTTTGAATTTTATTTATTTTTTATACAGCAGGTTCTTATTAGTTATCCATTTTATATATATTAGTGTATATATGTCAATCCCAATCTCCCAATTCATCGCACACACCCCCGCCACTTTCCCCCCTTGGTGTCCATACGTTCTCTACATCTGTGTCTCTATTTCTGTCCTGCAAACCGGTTCATCTGTACCATTTTTCTAGGTTCCACATATATGCATTAATATATGATATTTGTTTTTCTCTTTCTGACTTACTTCACTCTGTATGACAGTCTCTAGATCCATCCACGTCTCTACAAATGACCCAATTTCGTTCCTTTTTATGACTGAGTAATATTCCATTATATATATGTACCACATCTTTATCCATTCGTCTGTTGATGGGCATTTAGGTTGCTTCCATGACCTGGCTATTGTAAATAACGCTGCAGTGAACATTGGGGTGCATGTGTCTTTTTTGAATTATGGTTTTCTCTGGGTATATGCCCAGTAGTGGGATTGCTGTGCCATATGGTAATTCTATCTTTAGTTTTTTAAGGAACCTCCGTACTGTTCTCCATAGCTGAATCAATTTACATTCCCACCAACAGTTCAGGAGGGTTCCCTTTTCTCCACACTCTCTCCAGCATTTATTGTTTGTAGATTTTTTGATGATGGCCATTCTGAAGGGGAGGGGATGGAAAAAGATATTCCATGCAAATGGAAATCAAAAGAAAGCTGGAGTAGCAATACTCATATCAGGTAAAATAGACTTTAAAATAAAGAATGTTACAAGAGACAAGGAAGGACACTACATAATGATCAAGGGATCAATCCAAGAAGAAGATATAACAATTATAAATATATATGCGCCCAACATAGGAGCGCCTCAATACATAAGGCAACCGCTAACAGCTCTAAAAGAGGAAATCTACAGTAACACAATAATAGTGGGGGACTTTAAAACCTCACTTACACCAATGGACAGATCATCCGGACAGAAAATTAATAAGGATACACAAGCTTTAAATGACACAATAGACCAGATAGATATAATTGATATTTATAGGACATTCAATCCAAAAAACAGCAGATTACACTTTCTTCTCAAGTGCGCATGGAACATTCTCCAGGATAGATCACTTCTTGGTTCACAAATCAAGCCTCAGTAAATTTAAGAAAATTGAAGTCATATCAAGCATCTTTTCTGACCACAATGCTATGAGGTTAGAAATCAGTTACAGGGGAAAAAAATGTAAAAAACGCAAACACATGGAAGCTAAACAATATGTTACTAAATAATCATTTCTAATTTTAGCTATTTGAATTTTCTCTCTTTTTTGGTTAGTCTAATTAAGGGCTGTCAATTTTGTTGATTATTTTTAAAAAAAAACAAACTCTTAGGGATAAACAAAAACAAGGAGATGAAAGACTTGTACACTGAAAACTATAATACATTGTTAAAAGAAGTGAAAGAAGATACAAAATATGGGAAAAACATCTCGTGCTTGTGGATTTGAAGACAATGTTGTTAAAATATCCATAGCACCTAATGTGATATTAAATACAATATCTATGAAAATCTCTATGACATTTTGTGGCAGTAATAGAAAAAACCATCCTAATTTTCTTATGGAATCTGAAGGGACCCTGAAAAGCTGAAATAATCTTGGAAAAAGAAAAACACAACTCTGCCTCATTTCAAATCATATTGCAAAGCAATGGTAATTAAGATGATGTGCTACTGGTGTAAAGATAGATATGTAGACCAATGGAACAGAATAGAGAGTGCAGAAATAACACCATGCATATGCATCCAAAAGATTTTTGACAAGGTTGGAAAAAGCTCACAGTGGGGAAACGGCAGTCTCTTCAACAGATGAGGTTTGGAAAACTGGATAGCTACATGCAAAAGAATGAAGTTGGACCCTTACCTTATTCCATATACAAAAATGATTATAGATTATAGACCCAGCCATTAGACTGGAAACTATTAAACTCCTACAAGAAAACATAGGAGAAAATCTTTAGGACATTGGATCAGGCAATGATTTCTTAGATATTAAACCAAAAGCACAGGTAACAAAATAAAAAATAGACAAATGGAGCTACATCAGACTTTAAAACTTCTGTGTCTAAATGGAACAAATCAACCAAGTGAAAAGGCACCCTATGGAGTGGGAGAAGATCATTGTAAATCATATGGCTCATAAGGAATTAATATATAGTATGAATAAGGAGTTTCTACAACTCAACAATAATAATAATTAAAAAAAAACCCGATTAACAAATGGGCATAGGACTTGAATAGAAACTTCTCCAAAGAAGATGTAGGGATGTCCAGTAAGCATATGAAAAGATGCTCAACATCACTAATCATTAGCAAATCAAAACCACAGTGAAATACCACCTCCTACCTATCAGGTTGACCACTATCAACAGAACAGAATTTAACAGTGTTGACAGAAGATGGGGAGAAGTTGGAACCCTTGTGAACTTTTGGTGGGAGTGTAAAATGATGCAGCCATTATGGAAATCAGTATGAAAGTTTCTCAGAATATTAAAAATAGAATTACCATGTGATCCAGTAATCCCACTTCGGCATTTATATGCAGAATAATTCAAATCAGGATCTCGAAGAGATATTTACACACTCCTGTTCTTTGCAGTGTTATTCACGGTACCCGGGAGGTGGAAGCAATCCAAATGTCCATTGCCAGATAAATGGATAAAGAGAAATGTGGTATATACATACAATGTAATAATATTACACAACCTTAGGAAAGAAGGAAATCTTTTTACATGTTACAATGTGGATGAACCTTGAGGACATTGTGCTAAGGGAATAGCCAGTCACAAAAGTACAAATACTAAATTCTTCCTTTTATTTTGAATATCTAAAGTAGTCAAAATCATGGAAACAAAATTAAAAGGTGGTTACTAAGGGTGGGAGGAGGGAAGAGGAAGAATTAGTGTTTAGTGTGTATAGAATTTAAGTTTTGCAAGATGAAAAAGTTCTAGAAATCTGTTAGATAACAATATGAGTATACTTCACAGAACTGAAGTGAATACTTAAAAATGGTTTAAGTGGTAATGAAAAAAATCTACAGACAGAAAAATGATCAGTCTGCAGCTTAACTGAATTGCAGGTTCTAGCCAGAACAATAAGGCAAGAAGATTAAAGCATTAAGATAGGAAAGGGTGACAAATCAGATGTTTCTATATAACGGATTGTTGTAATGGTTGTAGTACTGTATAAAATCATTGAATTGTAAAAATAAAATAAGTGACTTTTATGGAATGTAAATTACACCTCTGTAAAGCTTTTTACCTTAAAAGAAAAATTAACTTTGCCAGTGTAGGACTACTTCCTGGATTACTTCAGATTAAATTCTTTATGTCGATCATGATCCAATATTGGTACAGTAGGTTTTTCCTTTGCAACATTAGATATGTGAAACTTTTTTGTTTCTTGAGTTAATTACTTGCTTTGTAAAACGAATACATGTTATTTTAAAACTTTTTTCCTTAGGGATCATTGAACAGTGTACTCACAATGGGCAAATTGTATGGAATGTAAATTGTATTTCAATATGCTTAGAAAATTAAGGGGAATAAATTTGAGATACAAAACTGCCTGTTCCAATATACTTTTGCTTGGTAATATTTTCAAAGAAGTGATGTGTCCATCTAAAATCTAGGAGTTAGATTAAAGTACAAAAGACCATAACTTTTTACTTTAAGTAAAAAATATTTCGATAATTCCTCTAATATATGGCTGTTTGTTTGTATTTAACTTATGTTGTTTTTCACTGTTCTGTTCCAGTCATGGCCAAGAGTTTTTCAGCAGGCTATAACACAATAAGAACTCTTGCTCCTGTTCTTAGATGAAGCTCTGCATAGCTGATTTTATGCTTTTCGTTTTTTTCTGAATCTACGTGTCAAGAAATTATTGTCTCTGTCATGTACAGTCAAGTCAACCAACTGTTTTTAGAGGTTATATGATTGATCTGCTGGGGACATGTTACATCTTTTCCTATTTCTGAAGTGACATTCTCACCTTATATTGCCAAGAATAATCTTCAAATGTAGTGGAAACATGTTATTTGGTCAGGGATGCAGTGGTGTATCTGTGTATATCTTCAGGCTCAGTAGTTGGTTAACTTCCATTTGCCTTCTTCCTTTTTGTAAAGGTGCTTGTGAGTGAGGATTCTGACAGTGATGGCATCGTGGCCCATTTCCCTGCTCATGAAAAACCAGTGTGCTGTATGGCTTTTAATACAAGCGGTATGTCCTTCCCTCCCCTTCACCCCCCATTTATGTTATGGGTTTTCCAACCAATTTTTTGGAAATGGAAAATATGAAATATATGTGTTAGTGTATGTGAGATAAGTAAATAGTTTTCAGTAAGTGATTATTGAATGAATGAATTTATAATAAAAATTTAGAAACTCCCTAAAGATTAGTTTTACTCTGAGCAAAGTTGTGATTAAGTAGTAGCAGTAGATAAATAATAGTAGATAAACAGTGCTGTTGAACTGCATTAATTTCTGTATTATTAGTAAGGTAAGGACTTCAATATATGAAACTACATATGTATGTGAATGGCATTTTCTCTGTAACTTCAAGTTTCTTTTTAACAATACAGTGACAGATGTACTGTCACCCTGATTAAACAGGTCTTCACATTTTAATATAGTGTGTGTGTGTGTGTGTGTGTGTGTGTGTGTGTGTGTGTGTGTTTGTATTTTGCTGAACTGTTTGACAGTTTATACGTGATGACATTTCACCCATTACGAATTAAGCATGCATTTTCTAAGAGTAAGGCCCTTCTTGTACTTTATAGGCAAATATTATATTATATTCAGAAAAGTAACACATTATGTTATCTAATATCCAAGTCATAATTTAAAATTTCCCAATTGTCTCAAAAATGGGTTCTCTAACTGCTTCAAATCAAGGTCTAATTAAAGTTTACTCCTTACATTTTATGTCTCTTTAGCTCCTTTTAATCCAATTTATTACTTTCACCTTTTTCCCCCTAAATTTCAGTGTCCAGAGCAGTTATCTTATCCAAACTCTGCATTTGTCACATATTTTTTTCATTATAATAATGTTTTCCTTATTCCCTAAAAGGCTTTTAAATACATTCAGGCCTAAAGATTTTTTTTTAAACTTCCTAAGTATTGCTGTCTACATCATTTCATCCCAGCAGGAGACACATTATATCAGGCTCTCTTGCAATTTATGATACTGTGTTTGATCACAAGAATAAGTTAGTGACCCATCAGACATCTGCATTTTGCAAATAGGTTGTCTTGTGGAGATTAGCAAGTGCAGAGTGTTATTTTGGCCTCATTTCTGAAACAACTTTTTACTAAATAGTTTTGTTACATTGAAGGCTATAGAATGGTGGTTTGTCTAATTCTATCATATTTTCTGTATTGATTAACTGCTGTATTTTAAAAAAGATTTTTCTCTCATCAACCATAAATGAACCATAGTTCTCCTGTATGCAAAAAACAGGGCAAAAATGTAATACTTTCTCTTTACCAATTTTCATAGTTAGGAATTAGTTTAATACGTCCAGTGGTGGAATTCCACTTCAGTGGACTTATTTTTAAAATACTTTGATTATGAATAGAAGATAAAATTGCTCTTATGCTTTCAGAGCTGAAACAATCTACGTAAGTTTGCAATCTTTTCCTTGCTTGGTGGGTCTGAAGAGACTGCCATTTTTATCTTATTCTGCAGAATATTAGGTAAAATTGATGGAAAGGCCCATCTTTTCCCCCTTCTTTTCATCTTTTCAGATAAAGAATGATGGTAAGAGGATAATATAAAGTATTTTGAATAATTTTCCTCTGATTATCTTAGGTATTTTCAATAGAGAGGAAGATTTTGTAGTAATTGTTGATCATTAGGGTTGATTTAATTAATGAAGACAAAGATTTATTGAAATGATCTGAATGTTGTGGGAATTTAGTTAAATTTGAAGAAACAGTCTGGAAGTTATGTCACTTATAGCACTCTACTTGGAGTAACCAGCATGACTCATTTTGATAGTCCATCTGTTATGTCAGATCTCCTTTGTATTAATGTATATTTCATATTGCCATAGTTAGGGTGCTGCAGAAGTCTGAAGCTGTATTTTCTCCTGTCTATGAATTTCCATTGTTACCAGAACATCTTATATAACTTAAAGAATGTTTTAGTTACTTCTATCATCGTGTCATTGTGTACCAGTTTTCATAGTTTCAGAGTGTCATATAGTTGGAATATTACAGTATGTAGGCATTTCAGATTGGCTTCTTTCACTTACTAATATGCAGATATTTAAATCTCCTCTGTGTCTTTTCATGCCTTGATTGCTCATTTCTTTTTAGCACTGAATAATATTCTATTGTATGGATGTATCATACATTATTTACCATCTGTATATATTATTTATTGAGCTGTCTGTATCTTTCATCTGCTTTTTAATTGGTTTGTTCATTTTTTGATTGTTGAGTTTTAAGAGTTCTTTGTATATTTTGGATAACACTCCTGTATCAAATATGTGTTTTGTACATATTTTCTCCCAGTCTGTGATTTGTCTTCTCATTCTCTTGAAAATTTCTGAAAATCAAAGTATTTAATTTTAATGAAATCCAACTTATCAATTATTTCTTTGATGGATCTTTCCTTTGGTGTGTTATGTAACAGTTCAATACATATAAATTGACATTCTTGTACTGTTGTATTCTTAATTTGGTCTCACACCAAATCTTATAATTTCTTGGAGGGAAGAGAATTTTATGAGAACTATTTTATGAGTTTTAGGATCTCTTACAGTTCTTCTTGAATCTAAAATAGAGCTTCTTAACCTGGGTCTGAGAGGTCCATGGGTAATATTTAGACAGTATGTGAACCTAGAAAGAAAAATATTCATCTTTATTTTCTTTAACCTGTAATGAAAATTTCTTTCACTTATGAATATGTACAATAAACCACTGAAATACTAGCTTGCTGGTGAGTTTGTGAGTAATAGAAATAATGGATATTTTCATATCATTTTGATGTTATTTATATAATTCTCTAAATAATGCTTATGGTTCAAAATCATGGTAGAGCCTATATTTTAATATATTAATAAAAACATATTCTACCACATATCAATTTTTATAACCCTAAGTATTTTACTTTGTCTTTAAAAAAATATTATTCTGAGAAAGAGGTTCCTAGGCTTCACCATGTTGCCGAAAAGGTTCATGGCACTAAAATGTTTATGAGCCTGTTCATGCTTGGTGTGATTTCACCTGTTTAAACTAAACACATTGGAAGCTAGACTTCATTCACAGTGCCTGGTTCAGTCCCTACCCATGGAGTCTGCTGGTGGCATAGGGACTTTTTTTAAAAAAGGAAGATAAATCCTTTGGGGAGTAAGGACAGAGTGCTAGGAGGTGAATGTTAACTTGGTCTTCTGCTTTTGGAGAAGGTTCTTAAAAAGGAAGCCAGTTCTAAATTGGAACCAAAAGATGATTAGGAAATAATGATTCAGTGCCTGGTATATAAATTAATATTAGTTGAATGAATGAGGCAAAAAAAATATGGCACATTTGACATAGATTTTGAAGCAGAGGCTATACAGTGGACTCATCAGTTTGTTATGTGGCAGATTTATTTTTCAATGTGTCAACATTTCTGCAAAATTTTATAAAATGCTTTGTATCTCTGTAAAAATTTGAATTAAATGGAGGGTTCATAATTCAGCAAGCACTCACAAAATTGGTTTGCAAAATCTTTTATAGAAGCTGGTAGACACAGATTTAGTGCAGTTGCTTACAATTCATCTTAGTTATTTACTGTTCATCTCTGAGTATTTTTGCCATTCAGAATATGACTTTTATTGTTTGAGTATGAACAAGTATGTACATAAAATATTCAATTCTCAATGATTTGAAAACCTTGATTTTATTTTAGCTATTCAGTAGCTGCACAACGTCTTAGAGAAAGGTATTGCGCTCAGCTATGGCTGCTAACTATTATCCAGCTCCTATCACTAGGGGACATTTTATTTTGCTTGTCTAGTTTCTGTATCACGTTTCTCGTTTTATCCTAACATTCTCGGATTCAGACATACACACAGACATACGAAATATTTGAGGCAAGAGGCTTCTTTGCCATTTGTAAATGCATGAATACCGTAGTAGTTATTTTTTTTCCTTGTAATTTTTTATGTAATACTTAAAAATATTTTGGGGAGATCAAATGTATTTTCTATCAAAATTTAAGTTCTCTATGAATTTACTTATAAGATGAGGCACTTTTCTGTTCTCTGGCTAAGTTATTTCTGTTAGCTTCTGAACTTTCATTAATTGCTATTTTGTACAAAGGCATCTAATTTAAAAGGCCCTTGCCATAGCACTTGTTTTGTTGTTGTTTAAATAGTACCTTTTCAAAATGTAACTTTGTAAATCCTCTAGTAATACCCCAGTTTTTCCTTACATGTATCCAATATATATTTCAAAATTTATTTATATTCAAGTTTTAACTAACCCTCTAATAATTCTCTATTTGGTTAAAGGCATTTTCATTTGGTATGTAATGTGGCCAATAATAACAGTAGTGCTTGTTGAAGTACTCTTAATGGGCATAGGGAAGTTCACTTAAAAAAATAAGTTTAACAAAACATATAAGAAAAGTTGATTGCCTGTTTTTTGTTTTTAAACCTGATTTTCTCTAACTAGTTTCCCTGTATATATGTATCACTGTTTTACTTTTATTTAGAGAGGCCTATTTTTAACTGCCAGAATTATTACCATGTCCTGTGTATCAAAATTCAAGAACAAACCAGGAATGCTGTCCATCTCCTGAGAAATTTTAAAAACAATGTACATGATGGAATAACACTGCAAAGTGAATTAAGGAGAAAATGTAGGTTGTTTGACTGGGTGGCATGCAGTTCAGCCTTGTATGGGACCTATTCAGAAAAGAAATTAAGGGGTACCATTAAATAGAGCCGTGAAACTTTCAGTTCAGCAGCTGCATTCAGTTTGTTTTTCAGTTTCTCCTTCCCATTCTTGTTTATTAGCTATGAGTGAGTCCTGAATTAAAATAAATATTTTAATGGCAACATTTATGATTTGGTTAGAAGAACTGGAGACGCATCATGCTTAGATCTAGGCAGATTCAATATGGGTGGTGCAAGTTTGTTGCTTTCAATTATTTAGATACACGATGAGTATATTTTATATTGTATTTTCAACCTTTTCTAGGGAACTTCTTTTAAAATTAATAAACTATTT